GACCCTTTTCGTGAAGACCCGGTTTACAACACTTCCCTAATAGGGAAGGAATATTTCGCTGATTTCCATACCACGGCCAGAAGCAAGCATATCGCGAGAGCACGAGAGAGAATTGGTAGAGATTCCACTGTCAGTCAAGACAGACCATGAGAATCGACACGGCGCTAGGATCTGGCGGCGTGCCAACTTTTAGACACCTTGTGGACGAGGTGGTTAATACTATCGGCTTTGCGTTGTCTCGCAGAAAAGGAAGAGGTGTGAGGTACGTTGTGTCGCCATGGGACTGTGCCCCAAGTGACGACTCCTTGAGAACGTTCTGGTGGGGTTGCAGGACCCGTAAAACCGGGCAAGGTTCCGAAGGTGTGGATCGATGGGAATTCCAGCGACGGGAATGCTTCTGTACACATTAGCTGAACCTGACCGACGTTTGGGGACGGAGTATCTTTCATCGTAATGCCCTCCCGGCCGTCCTTGGGACGAGTGGACGGCTCTCTTCCTGATGGACGGCAGCTACTTGCTTCGTGGAAAAAACAAATGGAGGTGTCTTCCGGGTCTCTGAACCCGGGACAGGGACGTAAATAGGTGCCGCAAGAATGGATAACCTAATCCGCAGTCAACAGCCACAGGGGGCCCAATACACAAAAGAAAAAGATCGAGTCTCTGTTCTGGTCCGACCGAGATTTTCGAGGGGAAAAATTAAATGCGAGGCTGCCTATTTCCCGCAATCTCTCCCACAAGTCTAACGACGATGGTCCTGGGCATGGGCAACGGCTATGGCTCGGCCTTCAAAGATCTAGACCTACCGCCGTCAAAGAGAATGCGAGTGGAATCATCAAAGAGTGTCCTTGAGGGGAGGGAAGCTAACATAGCTGAGTGCAGGTCGCTCAATGGTACCACTAGCGGCGACCATGTCGTTGTCATGGGCCATGGTGCTGCCAGCAATACAGCTCCCCCACACGATGTTTTCGGTAGTGTTGGGCTCAGCGATGTTTTGTTCGGCGAAGCTTCCTTTGATGACCTGTTCGAGTATTTGAGGCATGATGATGACTACGTCCCCCTTGAAGCAATTGACTGTCCCCTGAAAAAAGAAATCGACTGTCTTCTAGAAGGAGAAAGTGGTCTAGTAGGAGTAAGACCAGAAGATGTTCTCACTGACAGGCCTATTCCTTCATTTGAAGTCGCCGCCCCATGCGAGCAGGGCTTAAGGCTGCCCGCAAAATATTGGAAGCTGGCTTACGACATACTCGAGGAGGACTGGAGGCATTTGGTGCCATTCGACATTGCGGGACTGACAGTTTTTGGACTGGCCAAAAAGATCAAGGAATGTGAGGGTAACGAAGAGGTTAATTTTATGCTGACAACAAGACGTTACACATTGGAGCGGGGTGAGTGGGACAGTAGGGAGCTTCAAGCGAGGTTGAATTCAGGATATTTCAACACAGAG